ATTATATATATATATATATGTGTGTGTGTGTGTGTGTGTGTATATATATATATATATATATATATATATATATATATATATTATTAGCAAGACATGTAGGAATCAAGATTTGTTTACGAGCCACATTTTCTCGTACTATCGTATGTAGTACGATCTCCGTTAATAGCATGTATTTGAATTTCGTTAGTGCAGTCACTGTTGTGGCTATTATTATAATTAGTTTCTTTTGTTCTGTGACTAGCTTATTTACGTTTATTACAATTATCGTTAGTCTCTTTAACTATTAGCCTATACGTCAGTCACAATTACTTAAAATTAGTTGTGTGAAATCTGGTCTCACCGTAGTCGTCGTTATTATGACGTAAAGTTGTCCATATTTTTTGTTTAATTATCGCCCTTAACGAAGTGTTTAATTTTATTTGCTCTTTTTCTTAATATACTTTTTTTCTTTTCGTTCGACGCTTCGGTGTTGTCATGAGACGCTACGACACGTCGTCGTAGCAGAGTTTAAAACAATTTTGAAGATTGGCTGAAGAAGCTATTATTTTGGCAAGTTGCACTACATGTTAATGTGTAATGACCGATTTATGGTACTACTTTAGGAATAATACAATTTTATGAATATTAAAAGTTATGTAAACTGCAGTCTGTAAATTATTTCCCCGGCCGCGATAACATGTACATACACGCGTGTATATGTCTATAATCTGTGTATGCAAAATTTACAGCGAAGTTTTTCTTTAAGCTGAAAAGAAATAACGTGACTTTGCGATAGCTATTTTTGTAAAATAACATTTACATGAACGATATGTCCGCGTCGTATCTTGCGCTATGTCCGGGCACTATATTTGTACGTATACGTGTGCATGTTTGCATTATTATAAAAGCAGGAAAGGGAAAATGCTTTCTTCGTTGCGTTTCATCGTCAGCCGGGAAAAAATGTTCTTTTTTTCTTTCCTTTTTTTTTTTCATTCGTTTTCCAAGAACGATAAGCGACTTGACATGTTAATAACAATATATTTATTTTTTTGTTTAACATTTAAAAAAAAAAAAAAAAAAAAAAATTACGCCTCATTTGTGATTATTCCACCTTGGACGTTTTTCCCCCCTCCTTCTTTAATCCCCTTTTTCTGCTACTCTCTCTCTCTCTCTCTCTCTCTCTCTTTTTCTCTTTCCAGAAGAAGCGATCAGCCGTATATCCACATCGATCAAACGGCATGCTTATTGTCAGATCGTCGCTAGTCACCTTCGCATAAGCAATTCTCTCACACACACAAAATGACGATCGCTCTACGATCTCTTACGACGAAAGGAGTAATATATTATTTGCATTTTTTCATTGTTTTCCCGCGGTCGAGAGTTTGCTTGCATCTTGTAAATTTAGCTAAATACATGTGGCTGCGAGCTGGAGACTATGCGAACATTAACGCGAGTGACTCGTCAGTGCAGTGAACAAAAAAAACCCTGAGGCTCGGCATCTAGCTTCCCTAACAGATTAAAAATCTCAGAGTCGCACTTGTAAATGTATTTCGAGAATCGTTGAAAATACGTGGTGGAACGCAGGTGGAAGTTGCATTGTAATTATACAGTGAAGAGAAAATTATAGATGGAGAAGCGATTCGTCGAACGACGCCTCATGAAATGCAATGGCGGCAAGACTTGATTTAAATTTTTGAAAAATTTTACAACGAATGGAATTCGGAAATGCCATCACCGGACACTCTTTTAACAATAGTAAATAATGGTAAAATCTTCGGAACGCGTTTGCAATTTCGTCGACAGAAAAGAACAGGTTTATTCGATGCGACACGACGATTGCCAAGGATCAAGCAACTGACTTGAAGCATATTAAGCATTTTCATAAATTATCTTTCTATCCGAGAAATTTGGCATTAAAATGTTAAAAATAATTTTTTCAAGTCAATTCATTACGCTTTCCAATGTAATAATGTACACTTCGTTACAACTAGAACGTACAGGTATCTAAATAGTAACAGTTTTAGATTTTATACATATTAAACATACAATGTGAGAGTTTAGGCGCGATATATATATATATATATATATATATATGTGTGTGTGTGTGTGTGTGTGTGTGTGTGTGTGTGGGTGGGTGTACGTGCGTGCGTGCGTGATTTAAAAGAAATCGAACGATCCGAATGCATTTGCGCTGTAGTTTGGCAAATTAGTAAATCGTATTCAGCAAGTTAATAAATCGTATAATCGTATAATAAAACGTATTTTGGAAATAATAAGTTGTATTTCTTTAATCTTACCTTAACTCTTCCCTTATCCAACTTTCTTTTTTTTTTTAATTTTTCGTTTCACACGTGCACGAGAGAGTAAAGCCAATAATAGCAAGAATATCAATAATATAAATACCCGATAAATTAATCGTATATAACATTTAAGGTGTGTGTAAACTCGGCAATAAAAGGTATACACATTAACATACTAGATACTTATGATTTAAATAATTTATTTATTATGATCGCATTACATACATGGCTTGGGCTTTGAGGCAAACAAGGCCCGCTCTTTAAGCAGAAGTTTGTCGAAGAATGACAAGATGGGTAATTAAATGAAATTGCCATTGATATGGTCACGCAAGGTACTCGAGCTATAAGACAATAGCCATGGCAATTGCAATGACTCTTTACTTATCGTATAACGATTTTAGTGAACATAAATAGTTACGAGTTGCATTGGCATCGAGACATGATACATCATCATGGAGATCAGGTACCACTTTAATGGAGAGCAAACGAAATGTTCATGACCCAGAATGAGCGGAGCGTAGAGGAAAATACAAAAGCATTCCTCGATCGGAACATTCCACGTAAGCCCTTGGTTTCTTAATCGATGCTACCTTCTTCTTTCACCTTTTTGGGTCTTGCGCTTCTCCTTCTTCTCCTCCTTAAGCTGCTTCTGTTTTTCTCTAATAAGACAAGGGAAACGTACTTAGTATTAAACAAATCGCTTCAATTAATAGTGCGACTAGAATCGAGATAAGTTTCTGACGAACCGATCCTCCTTATCCTTCTCCTTCTTCCTCTGGCTTTCTAGCTTGGCCCTCTCTCTCTGCAACCTTAACGCCTGCACAATGGCCGCTGCATTGGTATTCTTTTCCAGACCTGAATCACCTCCGCCACCACCAACTCCACCACCGCCGTCCATGTCACCCTCGCTCTCGCTCTCCTCCTTATCCAACGTCTGACTGTATTGCGCTAATATAGCCTCTTTTATTCGTTTCTCCTCCTCTGTATAGGTACTCTTGTGGGAGGTGGTTGGCAGACTCTGAGTCTCCAGCATGCGTGCCAATCGCACATCCACATCTTCCTTTGGCGTATTGTCAATGGGTGTCTCCTCGACCTGGCCCCACTTCGCCCAGGCCTCCAGCACCTCGGTTGTGTGCTTCTGAATATTATCTTCCTACAAGCAAATCCAATGACGCAGCAGCGTTAATACCAATAACGAGAATCGCCGCTAAAAATCGCTAAAAAGAACATGTCACGCTTGTACACATTAAGTGTGCAACACTCGTCATAACCATGGAGCCAGTGCTCGATTGGGCCCCAACAACGTCGTTAAATAAAATAACCTCCCCCCCTTCCGCCCACCCACGTAAAACGCTCCACAATTGTCAAGAACAATCGCGTAAAGCGGCGCTCCTCCATACCAAACCAAACCCCCAAAACCAACCAAAAACCCGATGTTACATTCTAACCTCACAATCCTAACGGTTCCTCACCGTTATGCCTGCGAAAATTCCCTCAAGCGCCTCAGTCTTCTCATCATCCGTCTCGTCACCCTCCAGGATGCCCTTTATATATGATCCAAATACACCCTCGTCGGTCTTCAGCTCCTGCAGCTTCGTATTCAGCCAGGAATCAAAGTTCGCCCTGGCAACCGCCATTATTCGCAGCTCGTGAACTTAGCCGCTTCTTTACTCTTTTTCCCTTCCTCACGCTGCCTCGCGACAACACTCTCCGGGCTCCAGCTCCCACGACCTCGAGATTATCCAGCCTCGCGCCTCTCGATATCCGCCGGCTGGTGCGTTCCGGAGTGCCGACAGCGGCAGTCCCCCCGACCCTTTCATCGTCCGTATAAACCGCCAACCTCGCGCAAACCGCGAATTACGTAGCTCGGGAGCGTCATCGCGGGCATTTCGTCCTCGTCATTCGGTAGCAGAGCTACCAACTACAGACTTTCGTTGGACGTTCGATGCAACCTAGTCAACGCGACTTTCTCTCACCCCCGCGCATTTGGCACCAGTCACACCGGCTCGTATTTATTTTTTTTTTTTCACTTCTCCTCCTCTGACATCGATGTGCATAATGATCATACCCGCGATCACTCCTTTAACCTTCGATCACTACGATCGATCAGATTGACAATTTTCGTTGAGAATTTTAATTAGTTGGTAGTATTTAGCGAGCTTGTAATTGCGGTAGGAAGAGGAAGATGGGAGACACGTTTTGGCGCGTTAACGTCTTAACCGGCAAATTTCGAACACCGTGAAAGCTAAGCGAACTTCAACGCAAACGTATTTGCATCGTGCGCATTATCGTTTAATGGGCTTCGTCAATGGGATTGGGTGGGGTTGGGGTTGTTTGTCGAGTGCCTGGGATTAGTGGTTAGTGGTTAGCGGTTACGGGCGGGGAGGGGAGGGGGCGGGGGGTGTGTAATATCCGATATCCGTATCCACCGTAGTACGCGTTTTGCAAGATTTGGCGTATTGTGATATTCGCGCATATCGTTTTACATATCAGGGACGGCTTGGTGGTGATATTTAGCTCGCGTTTAGTATAAATTGGAAAAGCAAGTGGAAACCACTGACGATCGTCTCCACGCCACTCCACCCATCATTCCCAATCACATGCTAATTATTCAAGGTATTTAATATACAAAATGATGGAACGATTCTGTTTTTTTTTTTTTTGTTTTTTTGTTTTGTTTTATTTCATTCGTTTAATAACAATAATAATTATGATAACGAGCGCGTGCCTGAAGCGTTAATTAATTGCGCGATGGTGGAAAAAAAAGCCGCGTACAAACAAATGAACTTGTATTTGATAGATCAATGCTTTTACAATGAATCGAGCGAGCAATGTATAGAAAATTTAAATAATAGCAATAAGTAATATAGCTCGATATTGTTTATTATCCTTGTTGTTATTGTTGTTACCGTGGTCGCTTGTTGTTATGTCACAAGCAATTCTTATTTAATGGTTTACAAGTCTTGTCGCCGAGAACGGTAAGTAAATTAACGGCTTTTTTTTCTCAAAAATTTGAATGGATTAAGAAATGATGGAGAATGGAACGCCAAAGCCAACTAAATTCAGTATGTAAGAGATATAAAGTTGGGCTGGATTAAGCAACTCGCGTGTAAGATTCCAACTCTGCTCGTCCAATGTCCAAATAAGCACAGAATAATAAGCCGAGCTTTTGGGAATTTTGGCGGTGAAGCTACCGAGTGCTTGGAATAAGAAAGTTAACTTAAGAAAGTTAGACGGCGGTTAGTTAATCCATTGCCTATGTATTTGTTTGGAATATGTGCTTGTAAGATAGAAGCCGATGATACTTCTATCTCATTTAATGCCCATTGCGATCATTTGCACAGCATTGAAATAAAATCAAAACCTGCACAAACCTTGCGCATCCCTATGCTTACGAATAGAATGTTTTTTTTAAAAATTTCATATATTAATGCTCGTGCTCGTCTTATTAAATATGCTATGTTCCCGACAGGCCGCTTTAGCAATTATCAAATCCATAGTTTAAGAAAACCGCTAGTTAACGCTGGCAATAATAATAATAATAATTAATAATAATAATAATGATAATAATAATAATAATAAAGGGACGATCGGTCTAATTATATGGGCCAGTCGAGGATCAATATGAATTGTTCTCTGAATATAAATACGAACATTTGAATTTTAAAAGGGATTTTTGAGAGCGATTATAGATTATACAAGATCTAACGAAGCGTTTACATCTGAAATTTAACATTTTTTTAATACTCTAGCGATACGAGTACCAACGTAACCAACGAGACCGCATTCCTTCTTCCTTTCTTCTAATCCGAGTCGAATAACGAGTCGAACAACGAGTCGAACAACGAGTCAAACAACGATTCAGCAACGATTCAACAACGATTTTCACATTTATATACCGAGAACCTAACGGAATATACTTTTATCCTTCGTGTTAACGATTATGTGCTCATATTATTAATGAGTTATAAGCATTTTATTTATAAATTTCAATAGCATTTTCACAGGTAATGCTAATTAACATTAAATAACTCTGTCGATTTAATTAGAATTATAGGGTGATGTTGAGTAAATTTATTTACACACAATAAGCAAATTAATGTAGACTACATTATAAAATAAATTATAAATTTAATGTGCATATTATGCAAAATGCCTTTTACAGCTTATTAATTTTATTTTATTTTTTCTACATTATACTTAGCCTCTTGAGTGTCGTGTACCTTTAAAACAAATGCTTACATACATATACTTTATTGTTGTAATAAGTGCAGAAACAATTTTTACTCTTTATTATCATTAATTACAGCGTAATATCGTGATATGATATGTGCGGATGTGATATGTATATTGAATTAATTTACAATTCGGTTTTAAAATTTTTATTCTATATATGTTGGACCGATGTTAGCATGCTCGATTGTGTAATTGGCCGTAGCACAGGTAATTGATAATAAATAATTCGACAACGTGCAATTTCTCAATATGTATAATATTTATTAGTATATTTACACACAAGATTTCATCGATACCGAATTATCTTGGTATTACATTAATAATGAAAGACAAACGCAGCAAGATAGAAACAAACGGACAAATGATACAAAAGGTGATGATGCTTTAGTTGGGATTTAATATTAATAACTTTCACATTTCTCAATGTGATTATCTTGTAGTAAATCTTACTTCAATTCTTTACTTGCACACAGTATTTTTTTCTCTTTTTAATATATATTTTTATTATTATTACTGTTTATTGTTTTTTATTTATTTTATTTTTATGTTTTTTTTTATATATTTTTTTTGTTTATTTTTTTGTTTATTTTCTTTTTAATGCACAAATCGTCTCTCAGTTCATGTCAAGTCTTTTTCTCGCATATTTTTCGATTATACGTTCAAAATTTGCAATCATTATAGGCTTGATTAACAATGTACGTGGATACGTAATCTCTAATTGTAAGTTACAAGCCATTAATCCGCTTCAAGACTGTTCTCGTACTAATATGTCAGGCAAATGTCGTCTCGATTTGGCGCTCGCGCGAAATCTATTATCCGGGGGATTAATTATTCCTACATTTCCTTTACGAATCACAAAATGCACTTTCATATAATTCGCTCGCACAAACGCACTCACGCTTAATTACCTAAATAAAAGTTTTTTCTCTCCCCCCCCCCCTATTTTTTTTTTCATCTCATTCTTTTATTTGTTTGTTTTTGCTTTATTCGACGGGAACGCAAGTTTTTACTACTCGCGTTTTCGTTGCGAGCTCGCGCTAACTTTTATGCACTTACGTAATGTACGCTATTTCGGTACACGGTGTTTGACTTGAATTGAAAAATCTTGCCATTTTTGCTAAAACAATTCCTCGGATTGACCTGTGACCTTCGTGACCAACGATGCCTTACTGGATCATTAATCTATACCTTAAAGCGTTTGCACTCATTACTTTCAAAGCTTAAAATCAATGTTTGCTTCTTTATACATACAAATCTAAAATCACACTTGGACAAAAATCATGAGTTGATTGTCCTATTGGGCTACTCTTTACTCGCTTACAACAACTTTCAACTGGGCTATGTCTTCTTCGCGATATAGCTTAACTATTCAAAGTAAAGAGAAATGAAGTAATGATGGACTTACAACACATAACGACAGTACGCATATTCGAGGATAAAGAGGAAAAGTGACGGTCGCGACAGTTAACTCGTATCACGTTCGACTTCTGCCTCGGCAAAAAACATTGAACAAATGTACAATCGTAGCTTTTGATTACTCATAAAGTTCACTAAATCGATCATTAGTTCGTTAAAGTAACGTTTGGATAATTATTTTGGTTAATTGATCGGATGATTATTTTACCGTGAAACTATAATATCGTCTCTGCCGGACTTGCTTTATACAAGTCTTTTGATTTCACGAAATACAGAAATTTACACTAATTAGCGCTATTCTTACTCTCCAAAGAACTTGACAAATTTAGAAATTCTCTCCTATCCGACAATGAATTTTCACAAATTTATAAAACAGATGATTTTACGTATAGAGACAATGATAAAAACAATATGGTTTACGTAATGTTTAGCATGTTATCGTTATACACTATTGCTTTAATGTATTTTGTCAATTTATCCACTTTAACAATTACCATTGAGAGTTCCGACTTACTTTACATTTTCTTTAAAACGATATATGTTTTCTTTGATATTGCACTTGCATTATGGACAATTTAGTTGCAAACACGACAGAACACGAAGCTTTTATAGTACACATATATAAAACTTGGTCAACTTAATTTAACTTAAACGACTCCATTACATATTATCATGAGAAGGCATTGAGTATGCATTTAGATCGTTAAACAATTCACATTAAGTAATCATTGTTTCTACGTGAATATTTTTTTTTGGTTGTTTTTTTGTTTTTTTTTTGTTGTTTTTTTGTTTTTTTTTTGTTTTTTTTTTTTGTTGAAAAATTGCAATTATTAAGTAAATTATTGTTTTCAATTTTCAATGCATACAATCTACAGTTATTTGATAGTATTTGAAGAAAAAGAAAAAACAAAGTCACATTATTTTGTTTTATGTCGATCGATAGATTTTTGTTTCTGTCTTTCTTTCTTTTTCTTCTTTTATTTTTTTAGAAATTTACTACTATCACTTATAAAATGTAATTTCACACACAAACAACAAATGACAATGCATACTTGATTGGTACATAGCATTTATTTGTTGCCATTTCGCAGGATATCGCAGCGGCAGTGGAAAAATAATGTTTCAACGGTAGGCTCCACAGAGTATACAATTATTACAGCTTTAAACGATGTAGTAGATTAATTAAAAAATTCTCTAAACGTTTCAAAAAGATTGTTAATCGGCTTTACTAATTTTCTCATAAAATGTTTTTGTGTTTGTTGTTTTTTTTTTGTTTGTTTTATTATTTTTTTTTTTTGCTTTTGTTTTCAACACATTCATTTATTGAAATGACGTTGACAAGTGATAATTTTTATACGTAACATCTTTCAGTCTTGACACACGTGGTCTGCGTAGGAGTGCGTTACCATTCCCCCTCCCTCTACATTTTGATATTGGTAAATATTTACACATCAAATATCGAATAAAGTATCTCGAATATTTTAAAACTTAAATACGCCCGTGTATTTGTATTGTATGGAAGTTATTCGGCATTTTCCCTTCGTTGTCGGATTTTTCTCTTAAACGCGAGCACGATAGTTGTGATACACAATAATCCACAGTTTCATTGCCGAACTTTGCAAGAGTCAAATATTTTAACTGTAGAAACATTAAAAATAATAAAACTTTACGATTAAAAGCAATAAAAGAGCCTAATGGTCTATTGTTTGTTTTAACATTAGACAATTGTTTGAAATTCGTGACAATTTAGGATATTAAAATGAGCCGTAAGTTTGATAATTTTAGACGATTATTTAAAATTTTACATTAATCAACACTTCGTGTAACCACATAATTACGTTAAAAAAAAAAAAGTAATAATAAAAAAAAAAAATATGTAAAATAGTGGTACATTTTAAAAATGCATGCAGCGCAAGCGTTAAAATCAGTGACAATAGCGATAAAATTATATACACGCATACAACACTTCTTTTTATACGTGATAAAGAGGAGGAAGGCGATGATAATATGTCTAAAAGTATCTCTATAGTTATATTTGAAAATAAAAAGACTGTAATGTCATTGAATTGAGGCGAAAAGCTTCTGCGAGCCACTAAAAATCTATAAATTGTTCCATGATGCGCACCAAGTTTTCGTGCGCGTACCCTGAATCGATTAGAATATACAATCGAATATCTTTTTGTCTTGCGCCAATTATAAATTTTTTCGATTTAGTTGCATGAATATAATTGAACTCATTAAAACTAATTATTACAGTCGTAGTGCTGGCCGTAGCCATGCTCGGAAGCATAACAAAATAATGTATACATACGTAATTATACATAAACATAATTATAAGAATGATGATAATAATAATAACAATGATAATAATAATAATAATAATAATAATAATAATAATAATAATAATAATAATAATAATAATAATGATGATAATGATAATAATGATAATGATAATAATGATGATAATAATAATAACGACGACGACGACGACGACGACGACGATAATAATAATAATCAACATCATCATCATCGTTATTACTATTATTACTATTATTATTATTATTATTATTATTATTATCATTGTTATTATTATTATCATCATAATCATCATTGTTGTTATTATTAATAATGATGATAATAATAATAATAATTAATAATAATATCTAAAGTAATATTAATGAAACTATCATTAGAGACGACACTATTTTCTCAATTATCAGAGATCCAAGTAAGACAGTGGTAGTTTAATATCACAATAAGACTACTCAGGCCTCGTGAAAAACGGGGTCACGCTGATTAGAAGGATAATCTGCGTAATCATTATTTTACGACGAACTGGTTTTCGAAGCCATCGAAGAAAAGACTGATACCTTCTTTATTATTTTCACTATTAATGCATTACTCCTTTCGTTTTCAATCTAGTAGATCGATTATTTATATCGCTCACTTTCTTCGTCGAGAGAGCAATGTCGTGTCGATCATGTTTAAGCAGCTAGTGATTTCGAACAACATCGATCGATCACAATAAATTACATTTATAAAATTACACAACGAACTTGGCTATAAGTTGTGAAAACGAAAGATAATAATATTCTTTTGAGATTATCGTAACACTCCAGTCAATGTCAATTAGTCTAGCTACGAGTTTTACAAATTTTATACCACCCTTTAGTTTTCGTTGAGTCATGGCTAAATAATCCGACGATACAAGCCAGCCATTTCTTTCAACAATTCTACCTTACTAAGATAATCAATTATCAGCTACACCAGATTTCTTCTCGTGCATATATTTCTTTTAAACGATTATATTTTATTGAGTATTGTATCACATGAATTCCCTCTTCTTCTCATTCTTTCGTTACCTATTATTTTTCACTTACGCGTCTCTTCCCACCCCTTCTCACACACACACGCACGCACGCACGCACGCACGCACGCGCGCGCGCGCACACATATCTCTCTCTCTCACCTCTCTCTCTCTCTCTCTCTCTCTCTATCTATCTATCTCTCCATCGCTCGTAATTTTTCACTCTCTTCTATCGCTTCACTTTCTCTCATCTTCTTCCATTATTCCCTTCACATTTCTCATCCGTCTCGCTTTCATTCTCACTCTCTCGTGTTCTTTCATCTTCTTTCAATTTAGCCGATTCAGAAATTATTGTCGGTGCAAAATCATATAGAAGATTCTTCTCGTCTCATTTGCATTACACCCCGTGATATTATAAAAGAAAAGACAAGAGAAAAAGTTGCATTCCAATGATACTTAACGCGCTATTATTCGCTAAAATAAAGTGTTTATCGTTTATCAAGCATTTTTAATATTTGGAGAGCAAAATACGTAAATTTTGTTGGTCTTTTCAAAGCAGTCTTCATTAAAACGATCATATCGCCTCCCCTTAAATACGGCGCGTCCGATATTGAGCTAAAAATTTCAAGGACAATCCAAGCCTGGAAGGCTTCGATCGAATGCCGTGGCTCTATGGCTCGCTTGGTCAGCGATGTTGGGGGTGGGGTGGAGGGGGGGGGCTCACGGGATCGAGGATCGAAAGGAATGTCCGAAGTCTCCGAGTTCGGCGCACTTGCACGCAACGCTGACCAGAGAGGCTGGGAGGACCGAGAGGATGGGTATACGAGAAGAATGGTGATGGGTGGGCAAGTTTTGGAGAGGGGGGACTATGGCGGTAGAGGGGTGAAGAAGAACCTCGGAACCAAGGAGCATCGTGCGAGAATTTTCAACGAATTTTGCGGAACGAAGGGGCGAGGAAGAGCTGCTGCAACGCTTTAGAAATGGCTGGCTCGCACCCGGCTTCAAGACAATATGTGCGGCAAGAAGGTGCCCGAATCGTCGAGACTGGGATCGAGACTCATGACGATATCACCCGTGGAGGCGTGTCTCGAGCTTGCCGGCTGCACCCCGGTAGTGAGCGCGTGGCTACTCGCGCTCCCGTTGAGCTTGCCCTTGACGACGAGGGCCGCGCTATCCGGAGCATCCATCGCCGTGATCTTCGAGACGCACTTGCGGCCCCGGTAGAGCCTGTAGAGGGCGTACTGCTGCTGGGGATCTTCCATAGTCTCCGCCCGTCGACGGGCCGCGTTCGAGACGACGCCCTGGACGACGCCGATTGGGCCGGTGACGCCGGTTGCACCGCAGCTAACGGCCGTTTGGCCGTGTTGGGGTTGATTCGACTCGACAACGACGACACCACAACCACCACAACCACCACCACCACCGCCGCCGCTACCACCGCCAGCACTGCTGCCACCACCGCCTCCGCCGCCACCGCCGCCGCCGCCGCCGCCACTACCACAGGCGCTCAGTGCTGTGCTGCCTGTTAGCGAGGAGGCCATCGTCGAGGAGGAGGAGGAGGACAGATGCGCCGAGGACGATAGGCTCAGCCACTCGTGGCGCATCGCCTCTTCCGGAGTCATGCGCTTCTTCACGTCCCACCTAATGATGCAACATTGACATCGTTAGACATCGAAATTTTATCACGTGACATTATATTATACCATGATCGATCACAGCACCGGCAATTAACCATGGCAAAGCGAACGTCTCGACACGTTGGCGAACGTAGCGTTAATTGTATTGCCATTCGTTGGTACGAAAAGCATCGAGTGCTCGCTCGCCGGCCAGTGCAAATCTACTTACTCAAGGCAGCGGCTAACAAAGTTAACGAACAATGGATCCCGACACCGTAGAGCCATCATAACGCTTTTGCTTCCAGGTCTTCTCTTTTTACCCTTACTGTTGGTCACGCAACGGGGGTATCCCTTGGAATCTACAAGAGGCGAAAAAGTCGAATTGGTTAATATATTGAGCGCGAGGTTAAGGATAAATGTAACGGGATGCGCGCGATCCCTTACCGAAGAAGAGCCTACGACGCGACGCGTGATTGATAAGGTGATCCGGTGGCCTGCCCAGCACCTCCATTATGCAGGCCTTTCGCGCCCTCGCTCTGCGCGGGTAAGATGTGTTAGCCGGTATAGAGCTCAGCAAGAATGCAACCGAGGCTCCACATGTCGATCGGTGTACCGTAAGGCAAACCGAGGATGACCTCGGGGCTCCGGTAAAACCTCGACTGGATGTACGTGAAGACGCGCTGATGATTGTAGCATGACGATCCAAAGTCGATAACTTTGATGGAGCTACTCCCGCGCTGCTTTAATAAAACGTTCTCCTAAAAAAATAAAAAAAAAAGGGGGGGGGGCAAAGCAAAGAGTGGCGTGCTGGTGTTATTATTCGAATCATTTGTTGGGTGGGCGAGGGGACGGGGGCTAATGTAGTGTTGGCGATACTTACGGGCTTGAGGTCGCAGTGAATGATGTTCTCTCGATGAAGCAGCCTGAGACAATTGACCAACGAATTCGCGAACCTTCGAATGAGACTTAAGCTGAAGCCTTGGTAATTGTTCTTCTTAATAAGCTCGTACAGATTCAAGCTTAGAAAAATGAAAAATTTCACGTTGATCATTGATAATGATCATAATTGGTAATGGGACGTGGGACGAGAATTTTTGTGGAATTTAATTGGCTCACCTCATCAACTCGAAACTAATGCATAAATGATTTCTAAAGTAAAAGTACTCGAGCATGTGTATTACATTGTGAGACGAATTAGCCTCCACATCCTTTTTCCTGAGATGGTCCAAAATCTTAACCTCGATGAGGGCTTGATGATGGAATCTCTTCTTGTTCCTGCGAAAAGACAAGAAGGGGGCATGAAATATTTGTGACAAATGATTTTTGTTTGCCAGTCGTAATGACGTACCTTATAATCTTGATGGCAATGTGCTGGCCAGTCTTGTGGTCTAATGCCCTGATCACTTGACCGAAGCTGCCTTTCCCAATAACTTCCAAGATCTCATATCTAAATGTGTGCGTCGGAGGCATTAAATACATTATTACAGCGTTATTAGAAAACAAAAGAAAAACAAAAAAGCAAAAAAACAATCAAACGTCAATCAAATAATACGTTAAAGCGCATTACGATTCGCGATAATACGATCGTTTATAATCTTAGAGTCGACTGGCGCTTAAAGCGATCGAAACGTTTGAATGTGCCCCGTCGGTAAATTAAAAGTTTTAGCGAATGAGACGAGCGTCGATTATTTATGGGCCCGCGTTGTTGCAATCATCTTTTTATCCTACCTGTACGAGATATGATCGTGAAGGACCTTGTTGTAGCTCCCATTGTCATCGTCGTAACCTCCATTTTGGGAGGCACCCTCCTCCCCGTGTATCTTACATGCCGACAAGCCCAAGTACCAAATTTCCGAGTACTTTTCAATTTCGGCTCTTTCGAATTCCGTGAGTTTGGAGCCGTAATACTTGGTCGCTTGTTCAGGAGTCATTGGTAATCGTAAACCTATAAATACGTTATTTATTTATTTATTAAGCCATGTCATCGTCCTACGCTACTTAGATAAAGAAATAATTGAAATGAGTTTTTAATAAGGCTGTCGGCTAAATTTCGTTGTGACTCCGCCTAAATTGAGCGCGCGCGATATGTTTCAATGCAAAAACACAAAACCAAAAGCAAAAGGAAAAAGAGGAAAGAAAAAGAGACAGAAAAAAAGAAGCAACGACTAAAGAAAAAATAAACCTTGACTCGAATGCAAACAGGAACTCCATTCGGAAACTTTTCGGTTCAGGTACGTTACTTAATTGACACCTTGACGGTTTGCGGAGCCGTTGATTCGTCATCGAAATCAAATCTACCGGCACCGTTATTTCTTTTAATGCCCTCAATGTCTTATTAATAATATACACTTAGCATTTCGTGTTTTTTTTTTTTTTTTTTTTTTTTTTTTTTTTTTTTTTTTTTTTTTTTTTTTTGTTTTGATTGTTACAGCAAAAAATCATGACAGGAGTACCGACTGTGACATTTCATTGGCCTTCCATAATTTCGAATAAACTCCAGAGAGAATGTTATCTCGTACGTAGGGAGTATGTACGTAATTTTAAACGTTAAAGGATATATAAGGGACTGGAGAGTGGTGGCAAGAGCAAGGCCAAGGGTAAGGGATGTGATGAGTTAGGAGGGTTCGAATGGGAGGAATAAGATTCAATGGCAGTATAAAACGAGAAAACGAGAAAACGAGAGAACAAGGAAGGGTAGAAAGAAAAATACACAATTATAATGAATTTACCGTATGCGTTGGTGTGCGAGTTGGAATTGAAGGGGTCGTGATTGGGCAGATGGATGTTATTCGCATTCGTGTTGTTAGCGTTATTATTATCTGATCGATCCACTCGCGATGTTTTGGTATCACCACCAAGGGACGGCAGCAC